TTAGTAACTAACATTCTAATTACTTTATATCCAATTTTACCCTTAATGTATTTATGGTAATTGTTCTCATATCTCATTTTCATTATTACTTCATTTAATACATTATTTTCTCATATTAAATTATTTCTTTCTCATATCCAAAAAAATAATTGAAGATAAATAATATTTTTATTTTTGTATTATTAGGAAAAAAAATAACTAACAACTCAAACGTTTAGACTTTTCATTTATATTAATTATATATTTATACATGTAGGTAACTATGTATCCAAATATATTTATCAATATTTTTTATTTCTATTAATTTTATAGTTAACTATGTATCCAAATATACTTATATTTCTAGTTAATTTTCTTCACAAGCAGTCAACTATACTTGCTATATTTACGAATATTTTACTCTTAACTACTCACTCTCTTTGTGTATAATTAAGTATATAGTTAGATATATACTAACTATTTTAAAATATAATTACTTATAAATTTTTATATGTAGTCAAGGATATACCCACATGTAGTTATCTATATAGTTAATTTTTTTTACAAACAGTTAACTATACTAACTAATTACATTCACGAATAGTTCACTATTATCTATATACTTAGAAATATAAATAACTATATTTAAATGTAGTTAGTTACATATTCATGTATAGTTAGCTATATATAAACATATAGTTGTCTATTAGTTAACTTTATTCATAAGCAAACAATTATATTTGTTATATTCACAAATAGTTTACTATTCAATTATACTTGTTATATTTTACAAATGTCCACTATTTATGTTAATAATATCTAATTTTTGATATAATTCACTATATAATTTATATATTCAAAGTTTTAAAAAACAATCATTTAATAGAAAAAGAAAAAAATGCAGAAAATGAATATATATATATATATATATGTCAATTTCAAGATTATTTTTGGAAAGACTATTACCTCTTTTAAAAAAAAACTAATTTGCATTAAATATGCATTTAAAGTGATAACTTTAATTGAATTGATTAAAGAGGTAAAATGGTCAAGTTTTATTTTTTTTTGTTATTTACTAAATTTCTAACTACACATGTTATTTTATTCATTTAGGTGCTCAAACATGTTATTTCACTAATTAACCCTTTAAAATAATCATACATGTCAATATGTCATGTTGCTACTCTATGTAGTCTCTAGGATATTTATTTCCTTGAAATCAAAAAGTGTATGTTCATAGTATAATACTATTTTTGATCTTAGAAGGTCCACAACTGCTAGAATATTACATAAGGTCCCTTCTAAGCTTGTAGACACAAAATTTAATCAATAAAAAAACTTAATTTTTTTCTTAAGAAACTTGTAGCTGCTCTTGAAACCCTTGTGTGCAAACTCCTTGGTTTTCAGTGCTCAGACATATCACAGATCAATCCATCTTCTGTGTGGCGTCTACCGATTCCCTCAACAATGTGAGTTTATCAATCATCTCTATCGAATCCTTTAAAGAGTGATGGATGGCCAGTTATAGAATTCTCCATCAATCCACCATGTTATATCATCTCCTAATGATCCTACATCATATGATATCAGAGCCTAAACGCTTCTATCTACTCCTTGTTTGATTTTGCTACTTTTTGTTCCGATTTCATATTTAACAAAGCAAATAAATGAAATATTCCTATCTGTATTCGATTGTTCTTTGTTTCCTTTCTGTCTTGCTTAGCTTTATATTATTAAACAAAAAACTAAAAAGTTACTAATTCCTTAAATTTCATTTTCAGA